AGAGAGAGAGAGAGAGAGAGAGAGAGAGAGAGAGAGAGAGTTGCGGTATCTGTGCTGTAGCATTCAAGTGAGGTGGCACTATAAATGATGCCGTTGGAAGCACGGTCGTACTATAACAATAGGCCCAAGGGCCTCAGCGGTCACCTGAGTTATATCATAGGTACTGGTAGCTTTATTTTATTGTTTAGATGTGATGTGGAAATCAGCATGTAAACTAAGTGAAATACAATACTTGTCATCAAAGGATAATAGTTTTAAAATATTGGTAAATGTTCCCATTGGGGCCCCGCCCTAGCCCCTGGGGATGGGGCAGGAATCCCAATTTTACAATGTACCACCCTCATTCACCAAAGATGATTCTAACTAAGTTTGAGTAATTTTCTGCTAAAAATGGATAAAATATACCCAAAAGTGTTATTTGCCTATATAAACTATAGTAAACTTTACCCCCTTCCCAAGGGAGAATAGATGGCTCGGGGGTCCTGAAATTTACAATTCTAGTTAAACCCCTGATGATCTTTCTTTCCATGCAGAGAAAATGACAGTAGTACCTCTGAGTCTGGAGGAGAAGATTTTTGAATTTTTGAAATATTGATAAATGTTCCCTTTGGGGTCCCGCCCTGGCCCCATGGGTTGGGGTAGGAATCTCAATTTTACAATTTGAAACCATCTTCCTCCAAGGATAATTCTCATCAAGTAAAAATAATTTCCTACAAAAAGTTGTCAAAATATACCCAAAAGTGTTATTTCCCAATATAAACTATAGTAAACTTTACCCCCTCCCCAAGGGAGAACGGATAGCTCGGGGGTCCTGAAATTAAACAGTTTAAGTAAAGCCCCTAATGATCTTTCTTTCCATGCAGAGAAATGTCTGTAGTACCTCTGAGTCTGGAGAAGAAGATTTTTGAAATATTGGTTAATTTTCCCTTTGGGGCCCCGCCCTGGCCCCATGGATTGGAGTAGGAATCTCAATTTTACAATTTGAAACCATCTTCCTGCAAGGATAATTCATACCAAGTAAAAATAATTTCCTACAAAAATTTGTCAAAATATATCCAAAAGTGTTATTTCCCTATAGAAACTATAGTAAACTTTTACCCCCTCCCAAAGGGAGAACGGATACCTCGGGGGTCCTGAAATTTACAATTTAAATAAAGCCCCTGGTGATCTTTCTTTCCATGCAGAGAAAATGACTGTAGTACCTCTGAGTCTGAATTTTCCCTTTGGGGCCCCGCCCTGGGCCCAGGGGTTGGGGTAGGAATCCCAATTTTACAATTTATCCCAAGGATGATTCTGACCAAGTTTGAAAAAAAATCCATCCACTAGTTCTTGAGGAGAAGCTGAAAATGTGAAAAGTTTACGCACAACGGACGACGCACGACGGACGACGGACGTCGACGGACGGAAAGCGATTAGAATAGGTCACGTGAGCAAAGCTCAGGTGACTTAAAAAGAATACATTACATCTCCAGCACACACGCAGGCATACGCACATAGTGAGATATTGACCAGGTGACATATGACTAGTAGTTAGCGCATGATAAGGCAGCTCCTGCGAATTCCTCAAAATTGTATATGTATATGTACATCTAGTTTTTTTTGAAAACGACTATAGCACAGGGGAGGCAACTCCTACACAAACTTAATTTGTGACAGAGGAAAAATATCGTGCATGTTGAACAAATCACATTATAAACAACCTGTAAATTATCTACGATCTTTAATGCACCAGTTGAAATGAGCTAAGGGAAGCTTACTACTCAAACAAAATTATGCTAAATAAAAATGCGGTCGTCTTGGGGCAACGCCGTCACGATTGGGATGAATAGTACTTTATTGTTTATACAATGTACTTTAAAGAAATGTAATTTGTTCAGCATTCGTGTGAACGATACATAAAACCATGATAATGAGTTTCCCAACTAACTGAGTAGCTGGCATTCAATTATTACCAAGCATTTTGTTAAACAAACCAAGGTACCAAATACAGCATTACCGGCGAAAGTGTCCTGGCGTTTTCTAACATTACCAAAGTATAAGAGTAATCTACCTTGGAGCGACCCCTAGAAATAGAATATAATATTCTTATTTTGAACAACTCCGTCCTGTCTCTTTTTGTGAATTAGTCACTTTTCAAAAATGGCCACCGCAAATTTTGATGAGCAGACGTCAGGTCGTCTTTTTTTTCACTATTTAAGTTGTTCTGCATCTAAAACAGTATGATGAAGATATCTCGTTTGTTATTTTTTATTAATATCATATATATTTTGCTAAATTATCAATAAGCATAGCAATGTCACCTTAGTCTCCAGTCACGTTTTGTTTATGTTTTATGTAGATTGTAAACATTGATAGGCTAATATAGTCATGCAACTGGATGTGACAAAAAAAGGAATTGATGCATGTGGCAACAACTTTACAAGTAGTTTAAATGAGTTAATTGTTCCTTATTGTACCCACACAACCAGACATAAAGGCACAGGTAAGCAGACGGATGTTGTCAAGGGAGATAAGCCATGGTTTACGGATTCCTGTAAACAACGATATAGGGATTATACATATGCACTGTATACTTTTAATGTTTGTAAATCTAATGTGAACAGAGAATCAATAGTAAATAAAATAAATTGTATGAGAAACTTGAATATAAGTTCAAAAGAGAGTATAACTGTCAGCAAGGAGACATGTTGAATTATTTAAAAAAGTACTACCCGCGAAGTTTTTACAAAACTACTGCTACTGCTATTAAAAAAACTAAAAGCTGGTGGACAAGATGGTATTTAATGAATGTTTTATTAATTGCAAAGATAGTTTAATGCCATGTTTACTGTTATTATTCAATAATATATTCAAGTCTGGTTTTCCCGTCATCGTGGTCACTTGGTAATACCCCGTACACAGCTCTGCGATCTTACAAAGACCATGCCGATCACGGTATTCATTCTGTCTGAATCATTTTATATTGAAAACAGATTATTTCAGGGGGAAATTTTATCACCCCTTTTGTTTGCTATATATGTTAATGATTGTTAAATGCAGTTTTATCAGATAATTGTCCATCTATTCAAATACAGAACATAAATATGTTTTACTTATGTATGCCGACGATATGGTGATTATATCTGAAACACCAGAGGGTTTGCAAACAAAGTTAGACTCTCTTGCAAATAATACCAAAAAATGGGATTTGACTGTAAATGCTGGAAAAACTAAAATTGCCGTGTTTAGAAATGGAGGGATATTAAGGGGAAATGAAACATGTTTACCGATGGAAAATCAATTGGATGTTGTTGACCAATTCAATAACCTTGGTGTGCTATTAAATGTTAACGGAAAATTAAGACAAACTCTAAAGCAAGTTGCTGACCAGGGGAGAAAAGCGTTGATTGTATGATTAAATGCTTTTAAGAAAAAATATTCTTATATAGAAACTCAATTGTCAACTTATACGTTTGATATGTACTTATGTAAATAGTGTTTTGAGTTATGGAGCAGAAGTTTGGGGCTTCCATCCCGCACCTGATGTTGAAAAATTGCATGTGAGATTCTGCAAACAAATATTAGGATTACATAATAAAACTAGTAATGTTATGGTGTATTATAAAATCGGAAGATACACCATGCAAATTGTTGGAAAATTACATATATTCAAATATTGGATAAAACTGAGAAATGTAGGAAATTGTATTCTTAGGTCATGCTATGATGATATGCTTTGTAATAATGACATATGGTTAATGAGTGTAAAGCAAGAATTATACATAATTGGTCTGGGAAATGTGTGGGAATCTTCCAGTTTAAATAATAACACTTTTCATATTATAAAAGAACGTCTTTGTGACAAATTCAGACAAGAATGTTTTGAAAAAAATCAATTCTCTCCAAAAGGAGCATTGTATCAATATGTGTGTAATTTTGGTCACCAATATTATTTATCAAAACCTGTAAATATAAATTATATAAAACAAATATGTAAAATTCGAATGTCTGCACATTAGTTAAATATTGAGTGTGGCAGACACAACAGAACTGAAAGACGAAACAGATTGTGCACATTATGTGACCTGAATGATGTCGAGGATGAGTTTCATTTCATTTTCAAATGTCCTTGTTATATTGATATAAGGTTGAAACTAATTCAGAAATATTATTTTATAATTAAATCTTGCTTGTAACAAGCATTTTCATTGGCTTAAAAATGTTTGTTATTAGCCCATAACGTAAAAAATGACATCGCCGTTTGTAACGTCGCTTTTGATTGGCTGATACTGCAGCGCAATAATTTCGAAGAGAAAAGAGTCCATCAATAAAAGTGGATTTCCACAGGGATTGTATATAGTAGATTAAATTATAAGGATTAACTTGAATATATTTTTCATGTTATGGAGCTATAACACAAAAAACCGGAGTGTACTCTCATCATAAAACGCTTCGCGGTTTATTTATAGTACACTCCGTTTTTGTGTGTGTTATATCTCCATCTCCATATTCAAGTTAATCCTTAAAGACATACACGCATGTATAAATTAATTCGACTATTGTGAGAAGGAAACAAGGAAACAAAAGGAGATTTGAGCCGATTGCTGGTTAGTGTTCACTCTCCACTGTGTGTGTGTGTATCATATTGTATGTTGTCTTTGAACTTTAAACTTGAACTTGAAGATTTGGAAAGACCGGTTTGTTTTTTAATTATATAGACCAGGAGTATTAAGTGCGATCAAAAATAAGTTTTACTGCAAAGTTACAGCAATAATACTGTAAGGAATACGAACTTTAAGATTTTAACTTTTGTTTGATCCCATTTGTATTTCGAGAATTAAATATGTATCAATGAAATACTGTACCTCATTAAAAGAATCACCACGAACTTTGTTATAGCTAATTCAGTTAAAACAGTTGTTGACCCAGGCTAAGATTTCTGCTATAAGCCTCTTATGATTTGTTGTAGACAGTTAAATATGTCTTCGTTATTATTGTCTTTTGTAATTTTCTGGAGATTTTTTATTATTAACGAGACAACAATGACACATTTATTTCACACAATAAAACGATTTAATTTTTTTTTATATATATAGAAGTTTCATGAAACGTTGTAGATTTGTTATATAATCTAGTTATGGAGCAGAAGTTGGGGCTTCCATGCCGCACCAGATATTGAAAAATTGCATGTGAGATTCTGCAAACAAATATTAGGATTACATAATAAAATAAGTAATGTTATGGTGTATTATAAACTCGGAAGCCAACTGCGTTCATACTTATTTACATTCAAAAAATGTTTAAATGCTACAGTATATTACGTAGAAAAAAGTCGAAGCAGGTTGCCACGATGGTACCTACGGTAGCCGTGGTTGCTATATAGCTAGAACAATATAGTTCTAGTGAATCTACATCGATATATGAGTAAAGTTAGAAAGTACGCAGTAAACAACACTATTTGTTTCTTTTTATGGTTTTTAAATTTTAAAGGCAGCAATGTGAGAAGCACCTGGTACTTTTCTACTAATTTTCAACGGTCGTCATGTACGCGCATTGGCACACTACTCATAGAGTGACGCGGTCGAATGTGCATCCATGGAATAAGATGGAATAAGATGTGTCACCACATTGATATAACTATACACAGTAGTGTCACCACATTGATATAACTATACACAGTAGTGTCACCACATTGATATAACTATACACAGTAGTGTCACCACATTGATATAACTATACACAGTAGTGTCACCACATTGATATAACTATACACAGTAGTGTCACCACATTGATATAACTATACACAGTAGTGTCACCACATTGATATAACTATACACAGTAGTGTCACCACATTGATATAACTATACACAGTAGTGTCACCACATTGATATAACTATACACAGTAGTGTCACCACATTGATATAACTATACACAGTAGTGTCACCACATTGATATAACTATACACAGTAGTGTCACCACATTGATATAACTATACACAGTAGTGTCACCACATTGATATAACTATACACAGTAGTGTCACCACATTGATATAACTATACACAGTAGTGTCACCACATTGATATAACTATACACAGTAGTGTCACCACATTGATATAACTATACACAGTAGTGTCACCACATTGATATAACTATACACAGTAGTGTCACCACATTGATATAACTATACACAGTAGTGTCACCACATTGATATAACTATACACAGTAGTGTCACCACATTGATATAACTATACACAGTAGTGTCACCACATTGATATAACTATACACAGTAGTGTCACCACATTGATATAACTATACACAGTAGTGTCACCACATTGATATAACTATACACAGTAGTGTCACCACATTGATATAACTATACACAGTAGTGTCACCACATTGATATAACTATACACAGTAGTGTCACCACATTGATATAACTATACACAGTAGTGTCACCACATTGATATAACTATACACAGTAGTGTCACCACATTGATATAACTATACACAGTAGTGTCACCACATTGATATAACTATACACAGTAGTGTCACCACATTGATATAACTATACACAGTAGTGTCACCACATTGATATAACTATACATAGTAGTGTCACCACATTGATATAACTATACACAGTAGTGTCACCACATTGATATAACTATAGACGGTAGTATATGTTGCAATTGTAATGGAAAGATATTATACGATTTTGCGCACGGTTGTGCACTTTATTTACCTGGTATACACTGGTGACCCTTAGCCTGTAGAAGATCGGTATATAAATATGAGCGGCTGCTCCGATGGTGAAGAAGTAGCCCAGTCCAATCCACCAGTACATGGTCGTATAAGTGTACATCTCCGACGGCGTCCCTAGCAACGTAATGGCTGACATGAAGCTAGCCAGGAGGGACAGGGCCACAGGGATGGCGCTCATGTTCCCTCCCGCCAACAAGAAATCTTTAATGGTCTGTTTTCTTCTGTCTTTGATGGCGTAAAACATACCAATGCCAGCAGACACACAGAGAAGGAGGCCGAACAAGACATAATCCACCACCACGAATGTGTTCCTTTCTCCAGTCTGAAAACTATATTTTCTTTCCTCATCCATGGTATGGTCTGAAATTTATTTTCGGAGTCTACTGCTAAATGATGATAATCTTCTTTTAACTTTATTTCGCTTTCAAAAAGCTGTTTAAGACAATCTCACATCCGCAGGATATTTCCCTCTTTATTGCACGTGAGTACTGGTATTCGAGTAACACTGAATCAGTGAACTACTTACATGACCTGCTATTCCGTATCCGCATGCATGCATCACGTGCGTTAGAGACACAATAGCACACGAATACTTGCCGCTGAGAGCTTAGCACTCGGGTTTTTTTTCAGCAGGTTTTACACACACTGACATAACGTAAGGGCTACATATTATCTGTCCTAAACAGTCATGTATAGTTATATACTGTGTAGATGACGTTACCATCGCCTCCATGAGATACAATGTATGTATAATGTCTTGTTTTTAAATATATTCTACAAAAGAATAATCACAAGAAAAATAAATTCATTGTATTTACTTATTAACATATAAATTGATGGTATCCTGCCTAGGACTACAGTTTAGGACATATGTCTCCGATACGTGGCTAGGACTACAGTTTAGGACTTATGTCCCCGATACGTGGCTAGGACTACAGTTTAGGACATATGTCTCCGATACAATAACAAAATTTTGTCTCCAATAAAAAGCAGCCTGTCTAACGCATTGTTCATCAACTCGATTCATATACCAAATTCTTCTTAACGAAAAGCAGAAAATAGGTCATAACAGACATGAATAGGGTATGGACGCGAAAGACGACGACAGGAAAGAAGAGATATCGAAAAAAAGGAAATAAATCAAGTGGCCGGGAAGGGTAAGCATTCCTGCACTACGTGTGGCGCCCGTCATGATGTCTGCCGTAATCATATGCTATCACCTGTAAGTTCCATCAAAGAGTTAGGCCAACAGCGATCTGAGGTATGAGAAATCTTTCGTTATAAGAGATGCTGAACAGTAGGAAACCTGGCGATGGCGAAGACCGTAGATTTTAGGAAACACTGGCTGTGTATCATATTGGTCAACAGGACACATCTATCCAGAAATTAACGAAACTCTAAACAGGTAACCAATCAATTGTGGAATGTTCGCACTATACACAGGGAACTGGTTGCCTTGTGAAAGTGTGTGTAAGGTGACTGCTGTCTATATATGAGTACAACATGTAATATACATCAGGTAGACTACATAATGGCCTATGGTTGACGTTGCAATATCTGTGAAAAGAAGCACGTTCCTATCGCAAAACAGCAGAGAACAAAACACACAAGTGGAGATAGTAGACAGGTGGCATAGGGCTTGTAGTTAACAGTTCATGCAAATTCCTCCAGAAAGGTATTAAACGATGTATTGATTGCATAAATTGTATATGTCCACGCACTTCTGTGTACGGTAAAACACCTTACAGTGGTTTAGTGTAGCTAGATAGTATGATGTTATAAATATGGTGAATTTAATTTCATAAATTTTATTATTGTAATGATGTGATGTGCTCTTATTTTTGTGTACGAGTAACCAGACGTGCTGCAGTGATCTAGACCCGCTGTAGACGACTAGTTAGTGTATCAGAGATACCACAAGAAGAACATTAAATAGTCCAAACGAGAGGTAACAATTAAGTGACCGTACTTAATTATGACATAACCATCTGTTGTAATGAACTGTCAAATATATCCAATATTTCTGACATTGTAGTTAAAGGATTTTGTATTTGCATTTACCTGTTTCCCATGTTCATTTCAATTGTCAATTTATACCTTGTCCTACAGCTGGGGCTGTGCTACTAGTTTTGGCACTGATCTTTATTTGCAGAGCCTGTGTGTGCCGATGTTCGGAAGAAACAAGGATGTGCGTCTGACGAGCTGGCAGACGATCAGATGTCCCGGCTGTGGCAGACGATCAGATGTCCCGGCCGTGGCAGACGATAAGATGTCCCGGCCGTGGCAGACTAATAGAATCTATCGCTACTGGTTGTGTAAGATAGAGAAATCTCAACCCGAGGACTAAGATTGTTTGTCCAGAACGAGGCTTGCCGAGTTCTGGACACAAAATCTTAGTCCGAGGGTTGAGATTTCTCTATCTTACACAACCAGTAGCGATTGATTATTTTTCTCCCATATCTAACAGTATTTTAATGTGAAATAAAGGTAAACATGGACCCAAAACACATACAGGCAATTTGTTGATGGATTGTTGACGTGACGTCATTGTATTGTTGAAGTGACGTCATGCCATTGTTATGAATAGGGGAATCCCCCCGTCTCAACCCTAGGGCGGAGACAGATAAATCTAGCACCG